GCTATATTTTGTACAGATGCATCTCAGTAATCCAGGTAAAAAATCAAAAAGAAAAAAAATTGTATAGGTCTTCTGGACGGGTTCTTCTCTAATGAAATGTTTCGTCTCTCCTCCAAGAGACTTCTTCAGTCTGAGTCCGCCTGAAACTCTCAGACTGAAAAAGTCTCTTGGAGGAGAGACGAAACATTTCATTAGAGAAGAACCCGTCCAGAAGACCTATACAATTTTTTTTCTTTTTGATTTTTTACCTGGATTACTGAGATGCATCAGGACATTTTGAACCTTGTGTCCTTCATCGGGGGATGTAAAGGTTGGATTAAAAGCTCAGTGTTTCTTTGGGGAAAGTAATGGGCCCACTTATGATGTCCCCCGCTCACATGGGTTTTTTTATCCATCCTTATTCACCAATACCAAAAAGTGGCTGCAAGACTGCCGTAGTTCTTGTTAACCAGTGATGTTGTCAGGAGGTGAAAGGAACACTCTCTGGCCATCTCAAATTCACCAACAAGTCTTTCATGTAAGAAGCAGAGTGCAAGAACTTAGGGGTTAGTCTGTCCATAACTGGAGCTGCAGTAGTTAAGCTCCACAGAGGCAGGTCTCCAGTAGTGGACGAGATTTATTCTGATTTCTTTAAGACTCTGGATGTTGTGGCGCTTTTTTGGTCGACACACCACAACATTGCATGGACATCAGGGCCAGTGCCACTGGATTAGCAGACTGGGGTGGTGGTTCCCCTTTTTACAATAGGAGACCAGTGGTTGTGTTCTAATTACAGGGGCATCACTCTCCTTAATGTACCCAGTAAAGTCTATTCAGGGATGCTAGAGAACTGTCCAATTGATAGTCTAACCTCAAATTCAAGATGAACAATGCAAGTTCTGTCCTGGCGATGGAACACTGGACCAGCTAATTGTCCTCAATAGGTTCATCAAGGAGTCAAGGGAGTTTCACAGTCCAGTCTACATGTGTTTTAAGGACGTTGAAAAGACAGTTGACCATGTTCCTCAGACACACTGTGGGGACATTCTAGGCAAGRATGGGATTGTAGTTCCATTGGGTATCATGCAAGAACCGTTTGTACGCACAGATTTGTTCTTAAGTTGAGTGTACGAGTGATTTAGGAGAATTTGTGGCATTCACCAATGTTTTTGTATTCKAAGATTTTTTTCAGATACGAACAAAATTCACGAGTGGTCCAAACCTGTGGTATGTTTTACAAGCAGTCAGTCTGCTGTTATCCAGACGGATTTTTCTCATTAATAACTTTATATTTCATTAGTGTGAAGATATTTTGAGTTGAAAATAAATTACACTCCATAATTATGTTGACAATAGGCTATTCTGTTTCAATTAGAGTTATAATTTTAAATGTAATAATTTAGACTAACAATACAAACTGTCCGTCCAGCTGGCTTATCCGGTATCAGGTCGCGGGGGCAGCAGCAGAGAGACCCAGACTTCCCTCTCCCCAGCGACACTTTCCAACTCGTGCTGGGGGACTCCAAGAGGTTCCCAGGCCAGAGGGGATACATAGTCACTCCAGCGAGTCCTGGATTTTCTCCAAAGCGCCAGACATACAGCGGGTAAAATAAGTATTGAACACATCACCATTTTTCTCAGTAAATATATTACTAAAGGTGCTAATG